TGGATTTCTGTGTGTTGAGGAAAGGTTGATGGATGGATAGGTGAGTGGATGTGTAGATGCATAAATGTGTGGAAAGAAAGAAAAACAAAATAAAATCAGAGGGGAAAGTATCAAATATGTTGCTGCAAAAACTATTGAATATTCACACTATGCAGTAACTATTACCTTTAGGTTAGAGGGGTTTTTCTGTTGATAACTACCATAGAGAATTTATATATATTTAGGGAGAATTAAATGAATAAAGAGTTGCATGTTTTGACTCAGAAATGGCTAGCTATTCTTTTTTAAATTTTGTTTTCAAATAAGAAATCTGATCAAACCCATTTGGGCAATTGTTTCATAAGTGTCTTTCTAGATAATATGGTTTTAAGCATAAATTATTTTTATAAGTGTAGTGTAGGTGTGTTGAAACTTGCTTGCTTTCAATTTTTAGAAAAAAATTATTTAAAACATTTGGTACATTAACTGTATAAAATGAGATAGATAGATGTTTCAGTAGTTATACTATTTATGTATAACAATGCTTTCAGAGTTCTCAATTATTTTAAGAGAAATTCTGAGCAACATGAAAACCCTTTTTGCCTGTGCCCTATTAGCTACACGTTATTTCCTTCACTTGCCTATTATAAAACAAAAAAGGTATTTAAATATTCAAACTAAAAATAAAGTGCATGATTAATATCTTGCTCAATAACTCTTCTACATAGTGCCTCTGTTAAAATCACATGCAAATACATTTACATGTGTATTTTTTTAAGTTTGGTTATAAAGTTTTAATTTTTCATCTGGATTTAGATGTCCCACAGTACAAAATTATGTCTAAATTAATATAAGCAAGTAATAATCAATCAATGTTTCTCAAGTACCTAAAATATTCAGTTTCTCTGACAGACATGCTAAAGATGAAAATAATTTTCATGTCCCAGGAAATGATATTATGCACAGAGACAAGACTGGCATCTACAGTAGTGGCCACAACATCAATAATTGCACATATGTAGAGAAGAATGTTTGGGGTATTTATTGCATTAGGTTAAGTGATTTCATAAATCTTTTATTTAGAAGGAATATTTGCAAATTTGAATTTCAATGAAATGATTTTGTGGTCCAGAGTAACATCATATTTTAAATACATCTACAGGGATAGAGGGGTGGGGAGGGAGAGAGAGGGAGGGAGGGAGGAGGTAGGGAGGGAGGTAGGGAGGGAGAGATTCTATCTCCTGAGGTTATGGAAAAATTTGGTTTGCATTTAAGGTAAAAATAAAGCAAGTGAAGTTAAGGTTAAAAAAAAAGCAAGTGAATGTATGGATTATGGGATTTAGAGCTTTTCTCTTCCCATTAAAGAAACTCAAAATATAAATAAAGAAAAAATAAAACCTAGATAATGGGAAGTAGGGAAACAGATCTTTCTGATACAGGCACAGGATCAAGAGATGGGGGGAAAGGGAATAGAGTAAAGGGGAAGGGAAATGAAAAGGACTTAAGTTACATTACTCGCCACAAAAAAATGTAAATGGTGTTATGTACTGCAAATGCACTAATAATAATGAAAAAGAAAGAAACAGTGTCACCTACTCATGGAGAAGACTAATTACAAGATGATATAATATGAATATTATGAATATTTAGGGAGTATTCTGTATTGCCTATTGCTTGATCATTCTAATTAGGGCAATGTGTGTGTGTGTGTGTGTGTGTGCGTGTGTGTGTATGTGTAGAGATGGCTGTAAAATGAATCACTATAAAAGAATGAAAAGTAGGCCTGGGAGGAGATGGCTGCAGTGTCATCCTGTTAGTTACACTATTATGAATGTTGTATTTAAGCAACTGTATTATTATAGGAATAAATCTGGGATATTTAATATTGAATTATTCTAGTCATGTGTGCGTGTTATTATAAAGGTTAAGTAGGTGATTTTGCTGTGACTACTGCAAATGTATGGAATTTAGGGACTTTTTCTGAGGTTATTGTTGTTACTACGTTGTGGTACCAGTTACCCAAGCCAGTGGTGCTTTTATGCTTTTTTATTTTGAAACCAGGTCTTACTAAATTGCTCAGGTGGAACTCCAATTTGCAATCTCTCTGCATCCTCTGTGAAGTTCTTCATGTGAAATTTTGCAGAGTTTTTCAGAATGCTTGTTTCACAAAGAATTGCTACATGCTCTTTTTTGGTTCTAAGTCAAATTTAAGGTGACATTTTATAGCAGAATAAAAAGTAAATAAATAACTGGGATTTGAAATGTTGGCTAACATTTCCTGCTAGTTGGTTATGCTTTTGCAGCAAGATCAACTGTTTCTTCTGTGTGATTCTTTGTCTGCAGAAAGATGAGCTGTTTCTTTTGTGAATTTCTTTTCGGTATATCTTAATGCAGCACTGAACTGACTGATTTGCTATCATTTCTGCAGATTTCTGCCATTTGTTAAACCACGTTTAAAGTTAAGGCAGTGTTAAGTGCTCTGTCAGGTAATGGTAAAACGCTTCCATTAAAACATATATTGCCAATACTCAGCAAAACTCAACAACATCATCTACTACAAAACAAATTTGGTTACAGATGTCTTCTAAAAGACTCATTAGAATTCACGTCAGGCTAACACATCTCTATATAAAACACACTTCAGTTCTTAGATTATCTGGTTCAAAATGAATTGGTTACTTCAGCCCTAGCTATGAGAAATATATATCATACTTCCTGACAAACTGCTAAAATATTTGTGTATCTGAATCTGATAGTATTAGCTTTCTATGTTATTATTAATTCATATCTGCATAAGAGTCATCTCATACTAAAAATCAGGCTTCATAAAATGATTTCAATCAGCAAGAAAAATCTGCCTTTTTATTATCTAAACATTTTTTGTAAAATATTCATCTCAAAAGTATAACTATCTGTTTCAGCAATGATAGTTAAGGTAAAATTAATATCTTGATGTTTTATATTTATATACATGTGGAAATGACTATTATGGTCAAACATATTCCCATCTTTCTTATTTACATTTGTATGTGTGTTTAAGAATGTTCAATCTCTCTATAATGTTTAAGCATATAGTGCAGCATTATTACTTATAATTCTCATGCTGTGCCTTGTGATATTTTATCCCAACAACCCCAAATTCACATCCTTTGACTTACATCTCTGTATTTCTCTTCCCCTCTCCTCATTAGTAACTGTTATTATATTCTCTTCTCTCATGTTGACTTTTTAGATTTCATGTGAGTGAGATCGTATAGCACTTTTCTTTATCCTGCTTATTTCATCAAATACAATGTTGTGAATTACATGATTTGATTTTTAAAAAAAGAAAATACTAGCATTTATTGAGAACTTAGATGGTTTCATTTCTGCAATTTATTTATGGTCAACATTTAAAAGACATAAATCTCACAGATAGATATAGAATTATTATTGTTATATTTTACAGATGATACAGATGATGAATGTAAGGTTTAGAATTTAGCCTCATACGAGATCGTATACTTAAGAAGTAGTGGAGATAAAACTTGCAATGAAGCAGTTTACTCTAAGAACTCTGTTTAACCAATATGGTGTGGGCAGCCAAACAGTACCAGTTTGGCCAGTGTTGTTGCCATCTTTAGTATTCTATGTCTAGGAAAAGCAGGTAACCTAACATCTAGGACCTCTGTCAGTTCTTCAGGTCATTTCTCCTTCCTCCTCTCTCTTCAGAGATTCATATATCTCTAAAATAGTATTGAGCTTAGTACTATGATAAATGATAATGAAATCTAGGCTGGGAATATAACAGAAGTGGGTCTGAGTCCTCAGCATAGAAAAGAAAAAGAAAGGAGAGAGAGAGAGAGAGAGAGAGAGAGAGAGGAAAAAAGGAAGGAAGGAGAGGAAAATGAAACCCCTATTCAAACAAACAAACAAACAAGAGGTTCCATTTGACCCAGCCATCCCTCTGCTGGGTATCTTTCCAAAAGATTTAAAAGAATCTTATCACAGTGATATATGTGCACCCATGTTTATAGCGGCACAGTTTGTAATAGCTAAAACTTGGAAACAGCCCATCTGCCCATCTGTTGGAAACTGGATAAAGAAGATGCAGTTTTTCTATAAAATGAAATACTACTCAGGCCTAAAGAATGAGAAATTAGAGTCATTCATAGGAAAATGGACACATATTGAGGATATACTCCTAAGTGAAATATATAAATCACACATGTGTAAATATCCAATAGTTTCTCTGGTGTGAAAAGCTATAATAGGACATAAGATCCTAATGGGACAATTAAGAGTGTGAAATAGGAAGAAAAGGGCTAAAGGTGTAGGGAAATGGGGAAGGGTAGGGCAAGGAAATAAGGTAAAAGAAAAAATATGAGAAAATGGAAATAAAGAGTTTGTTAATGGGGAGGAAAGGAGGGGGTGAAGGGAGGGCAGGGACAAGGGGGAAAAATGAGAACCGAGACCTGGCATGTGAAGGTACAGGATCCCAGTAATGAATATAACTGTATTGTAGACCTAGATTGTACCAATAAACTCAATAAAAAGGGAAAAAAAGGTGGGGGAAAGAAAGGAAGGGAATAAAAAAAAAGAGAAATTAAGATCGTAAAAGAGGTATGATTCCTATGTACTTTGCGAACTGCCCCACAGAATATTTCCTGACGTTGACTCCTATTGTTCAGAAAAGAATTGCTCCAACTGTGAATTCCTCAGTATCTCATGGTATAAGGCAGCCAATGCCTTAGTCAGTCCCTCCTGCCAAGCCTCTTTGTGCCTGTTGCACAGTTTCCATGCCCCACCCCCATCCCCCGCAGTGAAACTTTGTTGCACTGTTCCTCCTGGCTGGTCAGAAGAGGTGACTATTCCTGTTCCGACATCACACTGCTCCAGTGCCGTGTGTCAGTAATGAATAAAGTGCATGCATTAAGTGGAAATGTATGTTTTTCAAATATATAAGTCTCTTTGGTGTATTTCCAGGGGGTATGACAGCGTGTTTGTGGTATTGTTTAATGGCAATGCTCCCTTCTTTCTAGGAGCAATTTTTGACGAATCTGCCAAAAAGGATGATGAGGTGTTTCGCACGGCAGTTGGAGACCTCAACCAGAATGAGGAAATCTTACAGACTGAGAAGATCACATTTTCGGTGACATTTGTGGATGGCAACAACCCTTTTCAAGCGGTGCAAGAAGGTAAGGCCCATCCGCATTCCCCTAGTGTGTTTATTTTAGTTATTGGTTATTTAATTCAAATGATGATGGAATTAGGTTCATAAAAAGTGAATACAGACGTCACATTTGTATCTTTGCTGCTAATTGGGTGTTGCTTTCCACTGAGTGCTGTTTTGTATTCTACTTTTGAGAGGGCAGAATGTAGAAAGTTATTGGTTTAGTTGAAACAAACTATGAAAATTAGCACAAATGTTTACAATGAAAATATTGGCAACAGTTTTACGACTTCAGTGTAAATGAAACATTCCCTTAAAATCTAACCTGCTGTGAGAAGTTTTAGGAGGGCTTCTCTGAGATAACTGCCACCTCCAGCGCTGTTAACAACTTGCGATGACATTTCAGGTGTTCTCCTGACAAATGTTTTGCCGCGAGGAAAATCCTGAGACACTATATACAAATCAAACATTTTGTCCTTGGAGCCTAATATACTGACTGACCTAAGCTACACATTTTTTGCGTTCTACAAATTTCCAAATATTAAAGTGTTTGCCTGCATTCTCTCTTACTCTATAGTGAATTAAAAGTTGTTATTGTTGCAAAGAAATGCAAATGGAAATGATCTTATACCGGAATGATCATTCTCATGAATGAAGACTTTGAAAAAAATTCTTGTATTACTGGAATTCTATGTTAATAATCTAATAAAATTATCTACCCCTTTATGTGGAAAGTATTCATTCACAGAACTGCGTTTTGCTAAGTGCTGTGGTCTAAATGTTAATATTCATCCCAAATTTTATGCTGAAATCTCACACCCCTTGTGCTGATATTCTAAAGAGGACCTTCAGAAGCTGGTCACTGCCTTCATGAGTGTGATTATTGCCTTTATAAAAGAGGCCAGAGGGAGTGTCCCCTGAGATTAAAGGACACAGCAAGTAGGCCCTGCCCATGCAGCAGAGAAAAGACCCTCACCAGACAACGCATCTGCCGGTCTTGTCATCTTGGACTTTCCAACCTCTAGAAATATGAGCGATACATTTCTGTCATTTATAGATTACTCTATATATATATAGCGTTTTGTTATAGCAGCACAAATAGCTTTTGTATGTTTTGGTGATAATATATTTAGATTATGGATACCTAATTTAAAATTAATATCAAATTAAGCATTGCTTCATTAACATTTTAAATGTTTTGGCAAGAGAAAGGGCGGATAGCACATTAGGTACAGTAAACTTGAGCAGGAATTTTTTAAAAGAATAACACTGAAGGGGTAAGAAAGGTAAACATAAGTGTTTGAAAAATGTATCCTTTTTGTCTACAGTTATATCTGTCTGGTATAACAGATATCTATTGTAATATGTTTGTGATTGTGAGCATTGGCTACAGCTAACATTTATTTAGGTTTACTTCTGTCAATTAATTAGAGAATGGATGTAATGAATGGTGGTAAGACAGAATTTTCTTTGCATTAATCCAATGAAGTGAAATATCCTATTTATAAAATTAATACAATTGCTTTCTGAGAAAGTCATTTTTACAAAGGAAAGTTGATATAGCTTACAATAATATGATAAGATTTTAACTTTTTATAAGTATTGATGCAAAAATCAGAATGGAAGAAACATTTATTGACATTTCAAAATCAAAACTATATTTCAAATTTGGGCCTTTGAATAATGAAGATGCTGATAAATTTTTTATGGAAACACTTGGAAGCTGTCTCAATTTATGTTAGAATTTATGTTAGAATACATGAAGGAATCTACAGAATAATAAAATTAAATGTTAAAAAGATGCCAAATAATTTTGGAAAATGTACTCATTAAGAATCACACTTTCATTTTAATTAAAATCATTATTTCTGTCTTAATCTCTTTTTTTAATGACTACAATAAAAATAGGAAAGACACGAGGACCAACTGATTTTAATGATGATCTTGTGAGTAACTGTTTGTCCATTTTAGCATGGTTTTAACTACAATGACAAGCTAATATATCAATGTTTCCAAAATTCAGTTTGACTGAAAAAGTAGTAGCAGATAAGAAGATGAGGGTGACACAGAAATAGAAGGAAATTATGAGTTGAAATAAATACATCCTCCACACTTTTAGAAGAGACAGTTAGAAAGTAGAGATTTTTTTTGTAAATACTAGAATTATATTTCTAATTTGTTTATTTCCATAACCATTCAACTGCCAGTTACATTATCTAGAAGCATAGATATCTCTCAAAGAACTACAGACTTGAAAAATGTTTTGGCACAGAAAGTAGATTGAGACAGAAAGTAAGTCTTCCAGAAAGAGACTAAGAAAGATGAGTTTGATAGTTTGCCTGATGGTTTTTGATATGAACAGGATGTTCTGCACTAGTTATTTTTGTGGTCTGCTTTGAGTAATGAACCTGAAATAAATTATAGGAACCTTTGTAAATAATGTAGTTCTCCACTTAACATCAAGAAGAAAGTTGGGTAATTTTAAACATGAAGATAATTATTTCAAGAACTCTTTTTAGAGCAATTTAGATTAAAAGAAGGGACATACGTGATTTAAGAGAGAACATGAAACAATCCAAAACCATTATTTTAAAAATATTATAAGTAACTGAAGGGAAAAGCTTAATTGTGTCATCAGAATGGTAAAAATTTTCGTGATTACATTTTTAATGCAGTACCATAAAATCTATAAATAATAGGTTCTAAAAATCACCTTTCTTTCTAATTCAAAGATGAGACAAAATACTCAGTGAAATGATTGGGTACATAGTAGCAAAACTAATGATCTTAGAGAAAAAAGTCATGATTTCAATTTCTCCATCTTTTTCCCCCTGTTTCAATATGAACTTCTCTTTTTGGAGGAAAGCATCATCAAATATATAAAGGTTTGGTGATGATAATGAATGATAATAAGATCAGTCAAAAGACAGTTATATGGGCCAGGGATTTAGCTCAGTGGTTCTGCTGCCTCCCTTGCAAGCAGAAGGTCCTGAGTTTGATCTCTGGTACAAAAAAAAAAAAAAAGATAGTTATATGAAACCAAAGAACCTAAAATCCTAGATGTATTTTATTGTGAGCAATTCCTCCAGTCATCTATACATAAGAGCTGAGTTTTTTTAGCCATTCCATCTTTGTTTCTTTCTACTGTCAGCATTTAATAAAGACAAAAGAAGTGACTGAATAATGGGCTATTTAACCTGAAAACCAGAAGCACCCAACCCTGTTCACTAGTTTCCTGGAAGACTTGTCTTTCCAGAGGTGTGTGTGATGGGTTGTGGGAGATGATGGCTAGGGTGTGACCAGAGGAATGCACAGCCTGGATCTCCTGCATGCATAGCTCATATAGGGTTCACGCTTCCCTGAGAACCCCAAGCCTCTGCTGATTTGACAAGAGGCAGAACTCAGGAGTAAGGGGGCAAGGTTTCTTCTGTAGCTTGCTACTGGCTGCTCACCTCCTGCTGCGTGGCCCAGGGTTAAAGCCTGCCCTAGATAATACTGGTATTATTTAAGACCTCTTTCATAGATGTTGATACAGTGTATTTTAAATAATAGTAAATTTTAAACGTAACTTTCTATAAAGAGACTTTCTACTCTCTAATTTGCTAGCATTCAGTTTCTGTAGATAAATGACTGTTATTGATTCCCATTATCTTGTAACATTAATCTTAGACTCTATATATAAAAGAACAGTAAAGACAAGACATTCTGTTTTCACAAAACTCATCTAGAAATAGACCACATATTTTCAGAAAATGATTTTTTTCCCTTCTTTTGAATATATTTTTGGATAAGCCTCTATTCTTTGCTGTACTGCCTTGTACAGCAGCTAAGGGCAAATGATTTTTTTTTGTATTTTAACTCAGGAGGTTTTCCTGGTGACCTTTTTCTTTTTGGCAGACTGTTTTGGTTACTGAGAGGCAGTATTCTCTATGTATATGAAAGAAAACATCATCAGTACTATATAAAAAGTCTAGGTAACTATACAGATAGAAAACTTTATAAGACTATTTCATTGTATAGATGAACAAATGGAGACGGATGGGTGAACTAATTCTCAAATTACTTTATGATCACTAGGCACGTTCACCGCAGGAAAAGAACTGATCTGAAACTCTCAGGCCATTGGTTCAGTGTATTTCTCGCTTCACTTAATATCTGACAACACATGCACCCATATACACATATTCCATATACACATTTTGGTGCAACATTGTGTATACCGGGACTTAAAAAAGTATTAAGAGGAATCCAAAAATGTAGCAGAATACATGCTTTGTTATGCATTTGAGATTTGATATGAGTTGATTCTGTTCATGTCATGGAAACTTCAACCAGTGATAAATACCAATCATATCTTACTTTCACTTTTTGAGGAAGAGTTGGGGTTATTTATTTATTGAAATTTTTATTTTATCTGTACATTTCATCTGCAGTACATGCAGTTTACAGTCATCCTGAGGGGCCAGGTACATGTACATCCTGCAGCTTATGTCTTCTTTTAAACTTCCTCCCCTTCGCTCCTCCCTTTTTCCCTCCTCTAATTACCTTATCCCTGTTTTTATTCTTGTTGATGTTACTGATCTTTGCTCATGTCATGGCATCTAAATTTTACGTTAGTTGAGGTTATTAGATTCCTGTATATGGCACATCTTTATTCTACTTATTTCCCCTTCCCCTTATCCTTACCCCTCACCTTGTTCCCTTGGTCCACTTCCCTATTGTAAGACATCCATCCCCTCGTCCCCATCTATTCTTCCTTTAGGATTCTGTTTATTTCTACTTTGCCTCACTTAAATGAGAACTATGATATGGTAATTAAGTTTGTGCTTCTGGTTTATTTCACTCAACATTGAATTTATCAAGTGAATCCATTTCCCTACAAATGTTTCAAATTTGTTATTCTGTATAGCCAAGTAGTATTCCTTTGTATATAGATACCACATTTTCTTAATCTGGTTGTCTGTTGATGTGTATACAGGCTACTTTCAGGACTAGCTATTACAAATTGTGCTGCTGTATTGATATGCATGTATTACTCTAGTATGAGGTCTGACGATGTTTGCTGAAGACACCTAGAAAGAGGATAGCTGGGTCATATGGAATTTCTAATTTTAGATCTTTGGGAAAATCTCCATACTTCCATAATGGTTATACTAATTTAGATTCTCAGAAAAAATGAAGGAGGTCATCACAGCTGCACTAGCATTTGTTATTATTTGATTTCTTCATGATTGCCACTCTTTCCAGGGTAAAATAGGATCTTAGTGTGGTTTTAATTTGCATTTCTCTAATAGCCAGAGAAGTTGATCTTCTCCTCTATTTGTTGACCATTCGTATTTCTTCCTCTAGGAAGTATCTGTTCATTTCTGCTGCCCATTTCTTGACTGGGTCTTTAATTTCAGGTACTTTAATTTTTAAGATAGATAGATAGATGATAGATAGATAGATAGATAGATAGATAGATAGATAATTCTCTGTCTGAGGAGTAACTGGCCAAATTTTTTTCCTGTTCTGTAGATTTCTCTTCATTTTACTGATTGATTCCTTTTTTATACAGAGGTTTTTCAGTATGATATAATCCCACTTTGTTGATCTTCCTGTTATTTCTTGTGCAATTGAGGTTCTGTTTAGAAAATCCTTTCCTGCACTTAGGTCTTCAAGCATTTTACCTGTTTTGTCTTCCAAAATGTTTATTGCTTCTATTTTGATCC